TTCTCAGTATTTTTCAAAAATTGTTTTTACAGGCTGGGGATTTAGCTCAGTGGTTCTGCCGCCTGCCTCGCAAGTGCAAGTTCAATCCCCAGTACCAAATATATATATATATATTTTTTTTTTAACAATGAACAAACATAACATTTGTTGTGGTAAAATTTCAAAGAATCAAGCTTGCTTTTTTTTTAGTCCATCTCCCAGGGTGTTCTCCCACGTGATCAGTATTGGTAAACCCACAAGGGCCCAGCTGTGCTGCTCAGCAAATCTACATCCTAGGCACCCCATTCAGAACTACCTAGGTTTGTGACTCTTCTGCCAGCCCCCTCTTTTATGGGAGCTTTCCTCTTGCAGGAAGGAGTGTTTGTTTCCATTTCATTACATGAGAGGGACCTGTCTGAAAGTGATCCCACTCAGTGAAAGGAGCTGTGTTAAGGGGCTTGACGGCTCTAGAGATACCAACAGTGGAGCCATGCTGTTCTTACCAACTAGTTTAGGAAAGCTACCCACCCTTGGCACCAGCAAAGTCATACATAAGTCTGTCTTCTAAGGGATATGTCCACTGCTTCTCTGCCACCCACTGCCACCTGCCCACCAGATGCAGAAGCAGCTCCCTCTGCCCAAAAACAATGGACTCCCTCCAAGGTGGCAAGGTTCCCCCAAGATGCTAGTGTGAGGCAGAAAGAACAGATGCTGGAGAACTTGAGTGCATGCATGTCATGGCTTCAAGCACTTTGTCTCAGCCTTCTCTGCATGTTAGAATCCCTTGGAGTGCTTTAAAAACTACTCAAGCCTAAGGGCCATGCCCAGAGACCATGATTTAATCTATCTTGGCTATGAGCTGGGCTTGAGGATTTGAGGAACTGTTTACCAACTCTTCCAAACTTTCTACCTGCATTTTCCCTGTAAAATGTTCCCTGTGTGAGACTGCCCTACCCCCACTATTACTCTGTCACACTTCTTCCTTTCTTTTAAGCCTACTCTTAAGTCCCATTCCCAGAAGGAATTGGAGCCAAGGGTAAGAGGTCTTCAGCAAACTTTTTCAGCACTCTTTTTTTCACATAAACATTCACAGAGATCTGATTACAATTTCCAACATTTGGAGGTATTCCTTCCCTGAGAAATATCACCAGCAGCCAGACAGCACACTCATATCTGAGTAATTTTGACTCTTCCAAGCATCTAAGTTTCACTAATTCCAACTGCCAGTCTTTGTTCACCCCATCTTCCATTTTTTACTTCTCTGTGACCTCGATACTGATCAGAGGTCAGTAAACCTTTCCAGAAAAGGATTAAATAGGTAGTAAATAGTTTAGGCTTTGCTATAGCCCCAAAATTGCCTTCAATAATATGTAAGCAAATGAGAATGGTTTGTGCTCTAATAAAACTATCTACAAAAACAAAAACACCAGTCTGGATTTTTCCTATGGGTGATAAATTGTAGACCTCTGCTTTATCTTTTTACCATTTCAGTTACCTATTAAACAATTTAAACCTAAACTGAGCTATCGCACAAAGGAGACAGAGAACTGTGCAGTGGAAGTTTCCTGAGTTTTGGAAAAAGTGATCAAAGGTTGGGTGGAAATTCACTAAGTCCTTCTTTCCCCTATTAGCATGTGTTAAGTAACAATATTTATTAAATACCACAGAGGCTATATAATAAAGAAATAATCCTGGGCCTACCTGGCTGTAGCTTTATATTATTGGATAATGCTTTATATTAAATTGTGTACATTCGATTAGCTTTCGTTATTTTTGTTTTTTATTGGGTTCTACCAGACACAGCTTCTCTGATTTAGTTTTATTGAAGGAGGAAAAATTTAAAGTATTTGTCTCAACCTTTCTGTATTGTGAATTCTTTAAAAACATACATTTTTTGTAAATTGTTTTGGAAAAATTGAACCTAAAATATATTCTCTTTAATAAGCATGTAGTCATGCTACCTACTTTCCTCTTTTTGAGCAGCAAGGAGAGGTTATTTTTATGTGAAATATTTTGTTCAAATTTTCTGTGGATGGAAGAATAGTTGTGCTCTCGAATATCATTGCCTATTCCATCTTGAATTTTTCTGATTCTGGTAAATTTGTGTTTAAAACATATATTTTTAGAAGAAGCAAAAGAATAATAGCTGCACTGCTGATCTCAGGGTGATTGTAAAAAACAAATTAGATAATAGGTGGGAAAATGTTTTGCAAAGTTAAAAGAGCTGTAGAGATATGAGGAGGTGGAAGGAATCACAAAACCCTTTCAGCCTTCCTCATAAGGGCTCTTAATGCACCTTAGGGAAAACATGTAATCTACTTACTTCCTAATTTTTAAATGCATTTCTTTTATAAGCAGATATTCATCTTGTGTTTTTCCAAGCTCCCTGCACTGTGTGGACAAGATGGCAAGCAAGTGCCATGATTCTATCTCTAGCTGGCTAGCGCCCCAACCACCAAGAAGCCCTTGGCCAATGTCCAAACACTGAGAGTTGCCAGGGGCCTAAGCCCTCGCCCTGCTTCCTTATCATTAATGTTCCCCAAGAGAATCCACTCACATGAAAGCACTGCATCCCAAGGAAATCCTTGCAGGAGATTTACATGGGGAGAGAAGAAAATATGCCCTAGAGCTGAAGTTCTTAATATAGACTCTGTGACATTGGTTGGACAAAAATACTATTAATATTAATGCAAGCACCAGTGTCAGCTTGCCCTTTGGTTCTACCAAGGACAGAAATCATAGGTTCTTTTTATAGCCTTTCTCCAGAAATACATTGTCTATGTGCACCACTACTTTGAAATTTCTGGTAGCTACTAGACCACTACAAGCTCTTTTTATTATAGTATTAAAAATGAGCCATGTATGTTATTCTATGTCAAACCTTTTCTAATCTTGTGATAATTATTAAATGTAATTTTTCCTCAGCAATCCTATGTATGTTATCTTCTGCATTTAAAGGGATCTATAGGCTTCAGCAAACTGCCAAATGCCTACTGGGCACATAAAAGGTTAAGAACCCTTGATCTAAGATAATAGATATATTTTCCTAAGGTGTTTTGTTCTTGTTTTTGTTTCTCATTCTATATCCTGATGCCCTCTAGTTTTTCTCTCTTTGCTTTCACACACTCACTCCAACCTCAAATTTTTCACCCCATTTGACTATACAGAAGTTCACCTCAGCAACCTTATCAGTTGGGGTGCTCAGCAAAATCTGCATTTATGTCTCTGCAGTCATAAAATTCATCTTCCTTTGAAGGTAGTTTGCAGATTATGTTTTTTTCCCTTGAGAAAAGTGTTGTAGTCTTAGCCACTGTTATCATGGTCTTATTAAACTGCTCTACTCAAGAGTAATTATGATGAATTATTGTTGAAAATAAAACCTCAGACACAAAGCTTTATGGAAACTTCATATTTACTAAAAGACCTCCCACAGGAAAGAAACAAACACACACAATGAAAAATTCATACTGATTTATCAGCTTCTTGATTGCACTTTTTAGACATATAATTTAAATCACAAGAAACAGTGGAATTTTAAGTATATGAAATCAGTAATCATGATGATAATAGAAAAATATCCTAACATGGTAAGATATTCTGTGACATTCTTAAAATAGAGCCTAGGAGCTGACTTCCAAAGGGTGTCAACAATGTTTGTCCATGAGAAGTAAAGCACAGTGCTCTTGTTTTCTGTATTCTAAAATAGTAATGTTTGTGACATGTAACTTTATTCCTGGAGGACAAGGAGGTAGGGCATATTTTTTCTGCAGAATAGGGTCTCTATTTTAGTGCACCAAATTCACACTGTAGTGTGTCTCTTAATTACATAGGGAGGTAAATGTCACATGGTAACCGTCTATCAAGTCAAGGAATTTCAGATAATAAGGGAGTTGTTTTTCCTATTAAGCAGTGACAAGCTATCACAGCAAGCTAAGATTGTTGAAAATCAAACAGGTCATATTAAAATTGATTGCTCTCCCAGTCTATAAGACCTGAGATATTTAGACTGCATCTGTACAGTAATTCAAGACACCCTTATAGTCTTCACTGTATATGTGGTGGATGACAGAAAACAAGAAAATAGTACCTCTTGATTTTGCTGTCACACTTGAGAGATATTCTCACTAACTACTGAATTCTAACTTAGTGGATATTTTCTTCCACCACGCGAAGGAAGTGGTTTTCTGTCTTCCGTGCTGGCTGGGACAAGTCAGGCCAGGCCACTATTATCTTTTATTGTATTGCTTCTATCCCAGTCTCCATCTCTACTATTTCTGGAACTTCAAGTACACAGAAGTTGGGCCTTCGCAATCTGTCCTCTGTCTCCCAGTTGCTTTTTGTATTTTCCAACTCTGTATTTCTATGCTGCCTTCTCTTACTGAGACTTGCAAATTACATACTCCCTTGTCAGATCTTCAATGCTTTTAATATTTTAAAACAATATTTTGTACAGAATTTCTCACAGTTACCATGGCTGTTTTATAGACTTAGTCCATATTCCCAGAAACTCATGCCTGTGATTCATACTTGATAATTAAGGCTCTATTTAGATGTTGGAAATTTTATTACATAAAAGGTTAACCTTGGCCTATATCATCAGTTGTGTTCCTAAAATATGTAAATGTATCTTTTATCTAATACTAAAGACCTTTGAACTTGATGGATACTTGATTTCTTTCTTAGTCTTCAGTAACTTACAACTGTTACTGACACTTACAACTTGAATTTGAAACACAGAGTTTTGCCTGACTTGACATTGCAAATAGGATGTCAACCTGCCAAAATAAAATAATGCACACACACGAATTAATTCTAATGTAATCCCAGGATTCTTTAAATTAGTGCTCAATAATAGTCACCACTTAGTAAACATTGTTAAATGATTAATTTTTTTGTACTGGGGATCAAACTTGGGACTTTGTGCTTGAGAGGCAGGCAGAAACACCACTGAGCTAAATCCCCAGCCCTAAATGATTAATTTTTAGAGTTGCTTATCATCCTACATTCCGTGTGATCTTTCAAAGTACTCACCTAAAATTTGGTTTAGCCTTGTTCTTGTAAAGTCTTCGATTTGAAGGTGTTGACATTCCAACAGATAATGCTTCTAAGTTCTCAAGAGAAGGTAAATTTCACTACTAGTATTTTTTTGTGTGGCAATATTAAGATAGTGGGAAAATTCGCAAGCATAAAATCTAAAAAGGCCATCCCTTGTGCTAGTAATATAGCAATAGAATACTAGTTCTTATTTCTAGTAATATTAAAAATTGCATGTTTTTCCATATTTAATGAAATTTTTGCTTTATAGAACTCTCACCTGGTATTAGAACTTTGTATTAACATTATACTTTTTCTGAACTAGAATATTTTCTTTCTTTTAAAATGATCAATAACTATTCCTTAACTTAAATAATGAACTACATTTTTATTGTTATATCAAATTTTATAATTCATAAATCACAGTCATACTTTTAATCAGTGTTATTTCGAATCAGGAAGTTACAGTCATTCATTTTCCTTTAAATATTTAAAAGAATTCCATGCCTCACTTCACTTAATGTGTTAGGAATGTATTATTAGTAATTTTACATTTAATTAAAGATAATCAGTATGGAATGCCAAGTTCTGAGAGGCTTTTCTACAAACAAAAAGTTTATTACCACAATATCATAAAAATTCAAATGTCTAAAAGCAAAGTTGAGAATATTAGCAATATTACCAGATAAAATGCATAGTTTAATAAACAGGAGAAAACTGTGACAAATATTACAACTAAAATTTTACTCAGAGCAAGAAAAAGAACTACATGCAACCAAAATGTAGTTACTTAACAGGAAATGTGCAATACTCATAAAGAGAAACTTTAAAACATTCCTGAAAGGCATAATAGCAAAATCTGGAATCAAACAAGGCTCAGAAATAAGAGGTAGTTCAAGCAAATTCTAGTAGATACACAACATAGTACTATATGACTAAAATAAGAATGTGGTAGGCCGGGAATTTAGCTCAGTGGTTCCACCGCCTGCCTTGAAAGCACAAGGTCCTGAGTTTGATTCCTGGTACCAAAAAATAAACAAATAAATAAAAATAAAATAAGAATGTGGAGGCTATATATAGATGACAAAAAGAAATCTGAAGGCTTTCTAGCAAGTGAGGAAAGCAAAGTATCTAACAGCGCCTTTATTATGTTAATATTATATGAGGAAAAGTAGGGAAAGAGAATACTCATATTTGCTTATAGCACTAAGATGGCCAGCGTGAAATTAACACAAATGGTGAACCATGGGGAACAAGGTAGAGAGAGAGGAAAGAAAAGAGTGAGAGGAAATATTTTAATGCATATCTTCATGCACTATTTTTTTTTAATTTTCCTGAACCGTAAACCTGTATTGGCTAGTAACATAAAATAAATTGTATCCAAAATGTTCAAATAGTAACATTTCTCTAGATGTATATGTTTTTACATTATTGGGGTTTGATTAGCATCGATTCACAACATTAGCCATAGCAATTAAACAAGGGAAAGAAATTAAAGCAATAAAGATAGGAAAGGAGGAAGTTAAACTGTCATTATTTGATGATGATAGCATACTCTACATTCAAGACCCAAAAAACTCCACCAAAAGACTTCTAGACTTTACTGACAGATTCAGTAGAATAGCTGGATATAAGATAAACACTAAAAAATCAATAGCCTTCTTGTATCCAAATAACAGACTCACTGAGAGAGAAATTAGGGAAACAATTCCTTTCACAATAGCATCCAAAAACATGAAGTATCTATGAATCAATCTAATGAAAGAAGCAAAAGACCTCTACACTGAAAACTACAGCACTCTGAAAAAAAGAGATTGAAGAGGATATAAGAAAGTGGAAAGATATTCCCTGCTCTTGGTTAGGAAAAATCAACATAGTAAAAATGTCCATACTACCAAAACTGCTATACAGATTCAATGCAATGATGATTGAAATTCCAACACTATATTTCACAGAACTAGAAAACATAATCCAAAAATTCATTTGGAACCAGAATAGACCTAGAATAGCAAAAGCCATCCTAGGCAACAGAGACATGGCAGTGGGTATAACAATTCCCAATCTGAAACTATACCACAAAGCCACTCTGATAAAAACAGCATAGTACTGGCAAAGAAACAGACTTGAGGATCAGAGGAACAGATTGGAAGATACAAAAACAACTCTAGATGTACTCAGATACCTCATCTTTGACAAAGGAGCCAACCATCCTCACTGGAGGCAAGATAGTCTCTTTAATAAACAGTATTGGAAAAACTGGATTTCAACCTACCTAAGATTAAAACTAGACCCTTATCTTTCACCATGCACTAAACTAAAAATCCAAGTGGATTAAAGATCTAAATATTTAAAAAGAGATGCTACATTTGCTGGAAGATAAGTTAGGCAGAACTCTTGAAGACACTGGCATAGGAAAAGACTTTAGGAACAAATCCTCAATAGCATGGGAACTGGCAGAAAGAATCAACAACTAGGAACTCATCTTATTAACAAGCTTATGCACTGCAAAAGAAACCATCAACAGAACTGATAGACAACCCACAATGTGGGAAAAATTTTTTACCAGCTGCTGCTCAGACACAAGAAACAATTTCCTGCCATTGTAACTGGCATAATGAAATTATAATACATTGCAATTGAAATCCCATATTACATTACATTTGCATAAAGCAATTGCTCTTTATGGAGAAAAACATCAAGTCACATTCTTACTATTAAGGTAAAAATGTTAAATTTTTCATTTTCATGTTTGTATCTATGCTTTAAAGTTTAAAAGCAATATTATACAAAGGACTCTATATTTGAAAAATGCTTCTGAAAAACAAGATTCACAAATGACTATTTAACAAAAATTACTCCGTTTTTGCTCTTTTTAACCATGACTTTTTATTCCTTTGACTGTGCTCTCTTACTAACATCAAAAATTTCTGAGCATAAGATTAAGATGGAAAAAAATAATTCTACCAAATAATTTCTCTGGTGTGAAAAGGTATAATGGTACATAAGATCCTAATGATATAAATGACAATGTAAAATAGGAAAAAAAGGGCTAAAGGTGTAGGGGAAGTGGGAAGGGTAGGGGAAAGGAAATAAGGGAAAAGAAAAAAACATGAGAAAATGAAAAAGTGGAAATAAAGTATTTGTAAATAGGGAAGGGAAGAGGGGGTGAAGGGAGGACAGGGGTAAGGGGGAAAAGTGAGAACCAAGACCTGTCATGTAAAGGTACAAGATCCCAATGATGAATGTAATTGTACTGTATACCTAAAATGTACCAATAAACTCAATGAGAAAAAACAATAATAATAATTCTTATTTTTAAGGCAGTTCAATTCAGAAGTCTTTGTTTTTTAAGTTTTAAAAATTACACACTTTTTCATGATCAGAAAAGAACCTAGACTTTTTATGCACTAGTCTTTTATGGCTTTACCAATAAAATTTTGTAGTTGAATAAAATATTTTTAAATTGTTTGGGGAGAGCCAGGCGTGGTGGCACACACCTATAATCCCAGCACTCGGGAAACTGAGGCAGGAGGATCGCTGTGAGTTCAAAACCAGCCTGGGCTACATAGTGAGTTCCAGCTCAGTCTCAACTACATAGTGAGACCCTGTCTCAAAAAAACAAAAAATAAAATAAAATAACTTGTTTGGGGAGAATGTTCCAAGTAGTCATTCCTGAGATCCTAAACATTTTTGTACAGTATTCAAAAAATCTGTTTGTTTTGCTGAATCTTTGGGGGATTTGCTATGATCCAATATTCCATAGGTGGTTATCATAGGTGACTGTGAGGCTGCTCTTTGTCAGCAGCCTATTGTTCTCTTATATGATGTCACTCTTCTGGGCCTTTTGGCCTGTGTGCAACCACACTAATAGACACGTAGCCCCTTGTTTGGCCCTGTTCTAGCTTTTTTTCTACATGGGTACTTCACACACCCCAAGAAAAAGTTCCAAAATGAAATATTTTCAGTATGATCACCACCAGTAAAAGGGCTGCACATACAAACCCAGTACTGACTTCTTTTCCAGTGCATATGTTGAGTTTAGAGAACTAATTAAAAGTATATATTTGCTGGAGTATTAAGGAAGTTTCTGGTAAGAGCTCATCCCCTGAAGGGTGAGGGTTACGGCAAAATGCCAACAGGAAACATCTTGTTGGCAGTCAGCCAACTCCAACGCAAGTCAATGATCCCACGAAAGTACTAAAAGCCAGCCTTTTCCAACCACGCCCTGAGTCCTGAGTCATGGGTTCTATGTCCACTAAGGTCCTTTGAGGTCCCTTTATAAGATTCACATGGTCTTCATTCAAGCAAGTTCATGTCACAAGTTTAGTCCCCTTTCCCTCTAGAGAAAAGGTCAAGAAATATTTTCTGTAAAAGGCCAGATGGCAAATATTTTGCACTTTGTGCATCTTGGCATCCCTGCACTCCTATTTACTTCTGCGATAGACAATACATAAACAGCTGGCATGGCTGAGTTCCAATAAAACCATGCAGACTATTATATTTGACTTCATATAATTTTCACATTTCATGAATCAGTCATTCCTTTGTCAACCATTTAAAAATGTAAAAAGTCATTCTTAGCATGTAGTCCTCACAAGAAGATGTGGCAGGCCAGGTGGGGCCTGGAGGCCATAGTTCACCCACTCTGTTATAGATATTGGAGAAAAGCAGTTGGAATATAAGGTAGAACTGTCTGGGGCCATCTCCTTACAATTCCATATGGGCTGAGCTCTCCAGGTGCATGACTTCATACCCATAATGATCACTGAAAAGGTTGAAGGCCTTTTAATGTCTTCATTAAAATGTACACTTATTTCTGTCTCAGTGTCATAACTTTTGCACTCTACCTTGCCAAAGCTTTCAAACTCAGTGCTTTCTGTGATTAGAAATTAATGTTTAAGCTGTTACATAAAAATTAGAAAACTTGTCCCATAACATGGGAGACTAAATCTGAGTCTGTATTGAGGAATTTATTTTAGGAGCAATGTTTTGGTAAAAATAATTATGCGCTTTGTCCTAGGCAATGGTCCTCACAGAATGGTCACCAGATCAACCCATTATTCAGTATCACCAAGAAACTTGCTAGAA